ATCTATCTATCTATCTATCTATCTATCTATCTATCTATCTATCTATCCATCTACTTACTTATTTATCACCTGCCTGTCAATCATCTGTTTGTCTGCCTATGTTTTTTTGAGACAGAGTCTCATGCAATGCGCCATGCTTGCCTCCAACTAACTATGTAACTGAGGATAATCTTGAACTCCTGAGCATCTTGCCTCCAACCCTCCAGTTGCTCAGATCCCAGGCCAGGTCTATGTGATGCTGGGAACCCAGTGCTTCATGCACACCAGGTAAGCACTCTGCCTGCTGAGGGACACCTCCAGCCCTGTTTTGTAATTTTTAAAGACAGGGTCTTCCTATGTAGCCCAGGCTGGCCACATGGTCTTCTTGCCTCGAGGATTACAAGCATGAAGCACTATGTCTCTGATCCCAGCACTCCCTGGAGGCAGAGGCAGGTGGATCTTGGTGAGTTCAAGGCCAGCCTGGTTTACACAGTGATTTTTCCATACCAGACTGGGCTGGGTAGTGAGACCCCCATCTCAAAAATAAATAAATAAATAAACAAACAAATAAATAAGTAGATAATCTTTGCTGGGAACCCTCTAGTTTCAAACCATGTTCTAAATTAGAGTGCGGCGCTGAGAATATGGAAACTCACAGTACGGTCCAATGTTTAAAATAACACACATTCAACACAGGAGATGTGACATCTTGCTACTCCAGTGACATCCTCTCCCCCAAGTTGACAGCCAAGTCTTACCACAGTAGTTTCAAGTGTCCTGCTAAATACCAGCTGCTGGGGGAGCTTACACGTTACAGCACACTCATTCAGAGTATAGCTACTCTGACTGAACAAGGAGGGTAAACTGAGGCACGGTCTGACACAGTGAGCCCAGCAGCCTTACCTACCATTGTGTGACATCCCGACGGACAGGCACTTGTGGAAGCGGCAGTACTGGCACTTGTTCCGGTTCTTCTTCTGAATCTTGCAGCTTCGATCACATTTGTCATAGGCCAGCTTTAGTCGAATAGTTCGCCGAAAGAAGCCCTGTGACAGACATCGGCACAAAATTTACTTAGAGAACGTGGGCTCTGGGTAAGTGTCCAGATGGGCTTCACTCAGCTTTCTTGTGCGTTGACTGACTGACTGATCTGTTTTGAGATGGGGTCTCATGGAGCCCAGCCTGGCAAAGAGCTTGCTCTATGGCCAGAGATGACCTTGAACTCTTGATTTTCCTGTTTCTACCACTCAAGTGTTTGGAGCTCTTGGGTGAGCACCACCATGCCTGGCTTTATGGGTTTCTGAGGATCCAGCCCAGGGCTTCATGCATGCTTGGCAAGCGCTCTACCAGCTGAGCTACACCCCAGCCCTACTGTCTCTTTCTAGAAAGTCTCCTGTGACTGGGGCAAATAAAAAATGTGTATCTCACTGCATTGAAAGTGGAAAATAATGTGCTAAGGCAAAGTTCAAAGCGATCTTAGAAAGACCCTACCAGACTGGGAAAGACGAAATGGTAGTTTCTCGGGTCACAATACCAACTCCCTAAGAGAAGACATTATAACAAGACGAAAACAGCGATTTGAAAGCAATGCTTTTGCTTTATAGCAGCATTGAGACTTCACCCAGGAAGAAACAGCTTGAGCTCATGAAAGCCAGGACTTAAACAAAGACAACTGGACATGGGCTTGACAGAAAGCCCTGTCACAAGTTGCATTTTTGAAGGGATACAGATAGAAAACTCAGGAAGGGGTTTATTTTGGTGTTTGGTCCTTTGTTTTTGAGTGGTGCTGCTCCCTCCACCTGCTTGACATAGCGGGCTCTCATGGCCCATGCAGAAGGCTTTTCTTGAGGGATGGAAAGAGGAAGGCTCCTCATCTAGGTGTGTGAGCCAGAATGGCAGAAGGGTATGTGGGGTGGAAAGGAAGGGTAAGAAGCAAGGCTGTGAATGCCAGAGACCACCAGGCCTGGATTGATCTGGATTCACTGTTCCCATGCACTAGGCCTGTAAGACCAGACCCAGCAGAGGAGAGATGGCCGTGTTTCAACAATGAAGGTACAGGAAAGTCTGTGGTATTCCCTCAGATCCTGGACACTTTCATAAGGTCCTACTAGGAATGGAGCCTTTGGGATTTAAGTGAACATGCACACTTCTCAATTTTCTATATATGGTATCCATGAAGTGACAAACTTGAGACTGTACATGCAGCTGAAGGGGACTCACTTCATGCACGTGTGACCTGGGTCATGCTGTCTAGTTGTCAAGTTGATTCTCATGAGGATAAAGATACATAGCAGGATGTAGGCGGCTAGGAGGAGGAGGAGGGTATGTGCCAGAAGTGACTATTGGGGGTCAGTTTCAGATACTGTGGACCCCGAGCAAGGGACAGGACACACCTGATGGCCAGCCCCTTGCTCAATGCATGGTAACCCCTGCCCTAACTGGCATCTGGAGAAGTCCTGAGGTAAAGTCTACTGTTTGTGTCATGAAAAAGGATCATTCTTAAATTGGCTGCTTTTTGTTTCCTTGTTTGTTTTGTTTTAAAGGACATACCCCTCTTGAGTGTTTACAAAGCACGGCAAAGATTGCTGTTCTAGATTGTCAAAAGAAGAGTCAAGCTGCTACCACATCAATTCTCTGCTCTTTCTGTAGGTCTCAGAGTGGTGGCAGCCGTCTTGCAGATGAGCAAAGCCATCAAGCCATGTGGCTACCTTACCCTTCTCCCGGGGCCTCTGTACCTTACAGCCTTCACATGCGTGGACTCCATAGTGGTATCCTGAGGCCTTGTCACCGCATATTCGACACTCAATGTTCAGTGCACTGCCAGGGGACTCATCCGTGCTGGCGGGGACCACAGGGCAGCTGCCTGGGGAGGGGCTGGAAGCTGGAGAGAGGGTGTCTACAGACAGAAGAGGAAAGCTGTGTGAGACCTGGGGTGTTACCACCCACATCAGAGTCAGACCTGAGGGAAGGGGACTTTGCATAAGAGATGGATCTGCTCCCTTGAAGCAGCGCTTCCCCTGGCCACACACTGCCCATAGTCAACCACGGTGCCAGCATTCTTGAAGCTCACGTGCACTGGTTAGCCTGCCTCTTGACTCGTACCATACTTCAAGCTCTTCAGTGGCCACGTTATGGGACCTCCACAGGGGCCCCAGTGTCCCATGCCACATGCCCAGTATAGAGCTGGCTGCCTTCCAATTTTGTTGTCACTGTTACTCAGAGGCACCAGAATGAGGCCTAAATAGTCATGGCCACAGGTGTAGCGACACATGTTTTTAACCCTAAAATTCAGTAGCTTAAGCAAGAGGATTGTGAGCCCAAGACCAGCCTGGGCTATATAGTGAGACAGAGACAGAAACAGAGACAGAAATAGACAGAGACAGAAGAGGGAAGAGAAAATGTATAGAGACAGAGGAGGGGAAAGTGAAAGAGGACACAGAGAGAGTTGAGCGAGGAGAGAAAGAGAAAAAGAGAAAGGACAGAGCCTGGGGAAAAAAATACCTTAAAAAACACATTCAATAAGTCTCGTGTCCAAATGACACAAAAGAACCAAAAGAAAACAACACAGATAAAAAGCATCAATAGGCCTGAATAAATAGTTTCCCCAAGAAGACAGACTGTGAGTGAGTGGATGGAAATACACTCAGTGTCACTGTCATTAGCAGACTTTTGAGTTAAAAACACGGTGACTATCACTGCACACCTTCAAAACCAGCAACAGAAGTGCTGGCAGGATTGTGGAGTGGTTTCTGTCACTCATGGCCAGAGTGCGTGCAGAGGAAGCCACTTTTAAAGCAAAACAGTCGTTGGTGAGGAAAAGCATATCTCTGGTTAGTTAACCAGCTGATGTTGGAACAGGTCCACACCAAAACCGACAACATGAAAGGTTATAGAGGAAGCTTGTTCTTCTTTTAAATCTTGCACATATAATGTGTGTGTGCGTGTGCGCGCGCGCGTATGCTTGCACTGTGACGTGTGTGAGTGCTGCCATGTGCATGCTAGGGTGCGCATGTGGAGGTCAGAGGACAACTTGAGCGTCAGCCATCGCCTTCCACCTTGTGTGAGGTGAGACAGGGCCTCTTTTCTGTTATTCACCTCTTCGTACACCTGGGTAGCTGATTTGTGAGTTTCTTGGAGGATCTTGTCTCTTCCTGCCTTCTCTCCAAAACACTACTGCGATCTCGGACCCATGCTACTGCATTTGGCTTCTTTGTTTTTCAAACATATGTTTTTGAACTCAGGTCCTGATGCTTACATGGCAAACTCTTTGACCTATGGGACCATTTTCTCCAGCCCCAGTAGCTTCAGACTTAATGGCTAAGAGTTGAAAGTAGCCAAGATTGATGTGTGAGAGTTCAAGGCCAGCCTGAATGATAGATACAGTGAGTGTCAGGACAGCCTGAGCTACAGGGTAAGACCCTAGATCAAGAAACCAACAAGACAGGGATGGCTCAGTGCTATGAAAGACTGATATTCTGCATTCCAGGAACCCTCAGTAGAAGGAGAAATACGTGAAGGTTTGTGCTCTGACCTACACACACACACACATACACACACACACACACACAAACACACACACCAGATTTAAAAAAAAAAACACAAAACAAAAAAGAAGGTAACTATAAAAAGACACCTCAGCAGCAACTGATCCCAGAGAACTGCACTCACAGGGCTGAACACACTCCTGCTCTCGCCCTGCACAGTAGATGCTCCTGACTGTGTGGGGCACCAGGCACAGCACCCAGAGGGTACTGAATACTCTGGTAGTGAGAAAATCACCTCTCAGTAAAAGCTGCATGGTTCTATCTAACAATGCTAGAAGCAAGACCTGGAAGGATCAAACATTTCACAGCCACTTCCCCACGTCTCTGAACAAAGCCTGGCATGCTTATTGGAATGCAAAGTCTACCACACAAAATCCACCACAGCAGAGATCACAATATGTGCCACTCAATAAAGAAGTTATGAGGCACATGAACAGAAATTTTGGCTCATGATGAGAAGAGAAATGAATGAAAGAGACCCAGAAAGGACACACATGATAGAATTTGCAACCAAGACATTAAAAAAGTTATTCTGGCCATAACCCAAAATGCAAGATAGAAGACTGGGCATGCTGGATAGAAACGAGGGTGAAAAGGGTGGATCGTGGCACTAGTGATAAAAATTGCAATCTCTGGTGTGGAAAAACAACAACAACAACAAAAAAAACGGGTAGATTAGACACTGCAGAAGAAAAGATTGGCAAACTGGAAAACATGGCAATAGAAACTATCCAAAGTGAAACACACACAGATACACGTCACACACACACACACACACACACACACACTAAACTGACCAGCTGATTCTAAAGTACATATAAAGTCCATACAGTAGGAAAGCCCTAAGACTATCTGAAAGGGTATGGCCTGAGAACTTGTGTAGGTGGTGCTGCCCACAGGTCTGCTCTGAACAGTGACGCTCAAGGCTCTGCTTAGATATCTGCATTCTTCTCTTGGGTGAATACACAAGAGTGGAAGAGCTGGGATTGTGGGGCAGATATTTGTGAAGGTTTTCAGGAAATGCTAACTTCACGGGGTGAGTGTTCCATGAAAGAATTGGCAGACGAAGCTGAGCAAAAGCCTAGATAGAGACCTCCATCGTCCGCTGATTTCAGAGACACAAAGACAACGGGGTGGCACTGTCAGTGAGCTGTGCCAGAACGACCATAAGGGAAAGAGAGAGAGAGAAATGTTGATCTGTATGTAAAAATCAAGTCAATGAATATTGGACTCAGTCATAAAACCTAAAACTTCTAGAAGATGTTCAAGCAAAGATCTTTTGAATCTGACCCAAAAAGCATGGTCTACCAAAGGAAAGACACTGATAAGCTGGACTTCATCAGTCAGGAAGTCCTCGTGTCCATAATACATGCATACGTTTCTATCATCAATAGTAAAAAAAAAAACACATAATCCAGGTTAAAAAAAAAACAACTAGGTAAATGATTTGAACAGAAACCTCATAAAAAAGTTATTGAGCAAATTATCACGCAAAAAGATGCCTCATACCATTCGGCATCAGGGATGTACACACTAAAACTGCCCGGTGAAGCACCATGACTCACCCACAAGGATGGCTAAGATGTAAAACAATGGTCTTAACTGCTGCAGACCAATCTGGGAGGAAAGGAACTCATACACTGAGGGTGGGGACAGCATTTGGGAAAGAGTTTTTACCTTTCCTGAAAACTCACACAAACGTCTGCCCTACTCTCTCAGCCCTTCTGCCCCCATGTGTCCTATCCCTGAGTGTAACGACTCGTAGTGGTGTTACATGCAACAGCCTGGACTTGCCTGCAGCTCCAATGTTCCCAGGCAGATGGACGGAGACAGAAAGAATGGTGTGCCAGGCACTACACAGCAAAGAGTCAAGTATAGAAACACCTCACAAGGCAGAGGCATGGCAAAGTGAGCGAGGGAGCCTGTACAGAAAGAATCATGCCATCTAGAGAAAGTTCCAGGAAACACAGGCTAGACAGACTAGCCTACAGTGCTGGAAAGCGTATCAGAAGTCATGTGGTGAGCAGGAAGGGAAGCTATTGCAGGGGAGAACCATGCTGGCTTCAGTGGGTGTGGTCATCATTTTGACTGTAATGATGCAGAGAGGGCAGGGGAAGAGAGAGACAGATATTCTTTTTAAAAAGTCTTATTTTCTCTGAGGAAAATATGTATCTAGGAAGATCTCCCTGGAAAGCAGCCCTTACCTGTGATGACCGAGCCCTCAGAGCCTGGACAGCTTCCTAAGTACTGGTAGTCCGCGAAACCAAAGCTTCCAGAACTCTCTTCCCCGATGGACTGAGAGATCTCTTGGATGTTCCCCATTTCTTGTAAGAATTCTTCTGATAAGGGACTCTCCAGGTCATCTGTTTCAAGTGGGGAGAGCGGACAGATGGGGCTCTCTGTGTCCATCATGTTGACTGGGTACGGCCAGATGGGCCACAGAGTGCCAACCTGTGGGAGGAAAACAGCCAGAAGGGCACTCACTTTCTGTTCTGAAATGAAAATGTCACCTGTTCTTGAAGAGCTATCTCAGTTCAAATCTCAGCATAGACAACATTGACTCTCCAGCCTTGACTCTTGGAAGCACAGTAGTTAAATTCTCTAAACGGGGTCTGGAGAGATGGCTCGGCAGTTGGGAGCATTTGTTGCAATTGCAGAGGTCCTCGGGGTTCAATTCCCAGCACCTGTGTGGCAGCTTACACCCATTTGTAACTCCAGCTCTAGGGAGTCTGACACCTTCTGACCTCTGTGGGCATTAGGCACATGTTAGGTGCACATATCTAGATCCAGGCTAAATGTTCACACAACACATAAGATAAAATAAATATATATTTAAAAACGTCTGAACAACAAAACACAGAAGGGGCCAGACTGCATGCAGTTGGCAACCCTTCTGTCTGTCTGCTCACTGTCCGTCCGTTACACATGAGCTCAGCCTCCCAGTCATGGACAAAAACAAAGTCCACATTCCCTAGAATGCACCATCCAATGGGGACACAGGTGGGGGCCAACTGAACGGGCTGTCTGGTGGGGGTGGGATGACACAGCAAGAGCAGATGGAGAACAGATGCCTCGCACGGGGAAGCCCCAGAAGGATGGGCTGTTCTGAAGAAGAATGTTCCAGCAAAAAGAACACCAAGTGCTGGTTCATGCCAGCACATTCTAGGATCAGCAGGGAGGCCACTGGGCTTGGTTAAGGGGCACCAGGAGGAAGGGGCCAAGCAGTCAGCAAGAGTGTTCTTCCTTTCCACGTGAAGGTCAGTAGTCTGTTGCAGGTGGCCCTAGAAAAATTATAAAGCAACAAATGCTTTGTGGAGTTTTAAAGTAGGTAAGTTCCATTAAGTCAAACTCCACTTACCTCCAAGGGGGGGGGGGGGAAACAGTCTTCAAATGGATGAGTACACCCTTTCTCCATAATGTTAAATGACTTTGTATGTCCTCCAGTCCATAATGCAATCCCCTTAGCTTGTCAATCCCGCCCTTTGGAACATATCTCTTCCCATCATACACTTGTCATGGTCCCTTCGATGCCACGGAAATGTAGCTCACTAGGCCTCTTGGAAGGTTCACCCGTGCAGCTCTGCCTGTCCCACTGCTGCCTTCAGTAGGCCCCGACCCCAGCCTACCCCCCTAAGCCTAACAGTGTCATCACCCAGCCAGACTGACCAGATGACATTTAGCTCCCTCAACTGTTTTGCCATCTAGAAGCAGTCACAGAGAAGGCTGCAGCTCACGTCATCGGGAAGGCCAGAGCCGCTGTGTGCTAGCTGGGCTGTGGGTTCCAAACGATGCAGCTCCACTATGCTGTGACCACAGAGAGCCAGTGTCCTCTGAAGAACATTTCCCAAAGCAGCGAGTGAGTGCACCTGTACCAGCAGCTCCATGTTTCCCATTTGCCAAATGTCAACGCACTTTTCAAGTGCAAAGAGGCGGAGGTATATAATACCTACTTTTGTGAAATTTGCATCTCGGGCTTGGACTCCTCACAGGTTCTATCATAGGTGATCGTTACACACGGCGAGAAACACTAAAGAATAATCATCCTGGTCCTGAAGAGATGGCTCAGTCGGGAAAGCACTTGCTTTGAGGGTTCAAGGACCCGGCTTCATTCCCCACGGACACAAAAAAAGCCAGTGCGTGCCTACAATCCTCAGCACTGACTAGGTGGAGGCAGGAGGATTCCTGGAGCTCACTGGTCAGCAAGCTGAATCCAAGATCAGTGAGACTCTGTCTCAAAAAACAGAGTGGAGACCAATTGAGGAAAACACCTGACACTGGCCTACACAAACGTGAGTGAAGGAATGTGTGTGTATGTGCCTGCTCCCGTCCCCACAAAAATCATCAACCTTTATAGGATAAAGATGATCTCCTATTTCCTGTTATGCCACAGATTTGTATCTGCTGTTTTCCTTGGAGGGGTGGTGCTGGGGACAGATCCCAGGGCTTCATGCGGGCCCAGCACACCCCACCACTGAGCCTACCACCTCAGGCCATCTACATGCTTTATTCTGCATTATAAGCAGAGGACCCGCTCTTCAGTCGGCAAGCCGGATAGTGGAATGATAAGCATTACATAAGTCATTTTCACCGTGAACAAAAAGTTCAAAAGCCACAATTATGATATCAAGCCATAAAAATGCATCCCTATAAAAAAAGGCCACAGGCTGGGCAGAGTCTGTGCTGAGGGTGGGGCGGTGTCTTTTCTTTTTTTTTTTCTCTGTCACCAACAGCCTTTATTTCCACAAGCTAGGAATATAGGGCTAAGGCCATGAACTGGTTTCTTTGTTGTGACTTTTAGGGAGCTCCAGTGTCTGGGAATCATGTCATTTTACCCTTTGGTTGCTTTTAAAGAATAACCAGGATTTACCTAGAGAAACGCTGGTCTTGCCATTCACAAGCCAGATGAGATAATCCTGCTTCATGAGTGGGGCAATCCTGACATGAACTCTGGCCTTGGGGCCTGGTACCACACACATCACCAAACACACTGGTCTTTCTTGGTTCCAACCAGGGCAGATAAGAGTCTTTCCCTTTGAATGAGTCCCCCAGATAGATAACAGAGGTCACATGGGCACACCTCAACACAACTTGCTCTTAGATTCCCGGCAGGCCCTGGCATCCCACATGCTCTGGTTGGGAGCAAAAACATCCGGGGCAGTCCTACCGCCGTGTCCAATATCCACAGTTCACCACCATTGCTGGTTCATTGAGAAGAGCAGCCAGGCCAGCTCTGTACCCTGTGCACTAGATATTCCAAAAGGATAGAGGCATGAGGAACAAGCCCATCTCAGCAGTGCCTACATGGCTTAGGATAACTGAGTTGAGTCCCAGAAACATTCCTTTGGGAATTGAGAGGTTGGCTGTTTAAAAGCTCTAAGAGCATTCAATAACTAGGAAACAAAAGAAGCAGACACACAGTTTCATGGTGAGGCAGGACAAAGAACATGGGAATCTGGGTATCTACTGACAACCTTTGATGCCGCAGCATCTTGAATTTTGCCACTCTAGGACAGTAGATGATTAGGCTAACATGACTTGCTAATCACACCATGGGCATGTACTGTGGGAAGCCAATCGGGGTTCAGCTCAGTCTCCTCTAAGGTCCTCCACACCCGGGTCCTAAACCCAGCATGCCCCTATTTGCACGTGGTCATGTAACTTTTTAGGTTTTTCTCTCCTACAATATTATATGTCTTGATAGAGTAAGGGGTGTATTTGCTTGATTTTTGCAAGCATACTTTCAGAACAGTCTCTGCCATGGAGCAGGTGTTCAGGTGCTTGGCGCAGAACAAACACTCATGTTGTTACCTGTGACAGGTGAGGATCTTAAGAGCTCACTTTGGCTCTGTATGAGCCAAAGCTGCTCTGTATGAGCAGCTCCTGCAGGTATCTGGGTAGAAAGTAAACCAGTGCAGAGCCTCCAAAGAAAACATCTGTGCACTGAATACCAAGAACAGAAATCAAGGGAGAATCCTGCACCAGGTATGAAACCAGCAGTTTTCAGAGTGCAGTATAATTTCAGGGACTGAAAAAGTTTATGAGAGGCAGAGAAAAAAAATCTCAACAGAATAGTCAACAAAGAAGTTCCCAGTCATTAAGTGAGAGCTGTGGAGAATAGGGATACTGGGTGTCACCCCCCAGTTGAAAGCAAAAGACTTGCTGGTTCAGTGTATTCCCTGGGAGAAAACCAGCACCCAGCAGACAGTAAACACTAAGAGGAAAGGGAGCGGGAAGCTCGTCATTTGGACTTTCCCTTCAGACCCACAAATGGTGAATGCTGGATATATCCTGTGACAAAGTGTGCCACAGCAGAGCCCAGAAGTTTCAACAAAGCCAGCAAAGTAGCCCGGGGTGATGAAACACACCTTTATTTCCAGCACTTGGAAGGCAAAAGCAGGTAGATAGATCTCTGTGAGTTTGAGACCAGCTTGGTCTCATATCAGTTCTACACATTGAATTCCAGGATAGCCAGAGTTGCATGGTGAGACCCTGTCTCAAAAACAAAACAAAAGCGGCGCTCACATGGGATCAGCTCCTTGGAAGGCTGAGGTAGGAGGATCGAAAGTTCCAGGATAGCCTGGGCCACATAAAAAGACCTTGTTAAGGAAGTGAGGAAAGAAAAGGAAGGGAAAGAGGAAGGGGTGAAGAAGGGAGAGGGGAGAGAATGAAGAGACTTCATCTTTTGGATGAAATAAAAGACTGGAGCCAGGGCATGGCTGACAGTAGGGTGCACAGCCTAGCATGGAGAAATCTTGATTCAACACTCTCAGGACTATACAAATAAAGAAGAGTAAGCAAAGAGAAAAGACAATAGGAAAGTCACTGTGGCTGCCCAGAGCACACACTGACCTATCCGTTAATAATACAGAGGTTTTTAGATCTGTAAGTCACTTCCCCAATATCTTCTAGAGCTACGTATTAAATATCTGCGAGCATGACACTGTCCCAGCTTCGGAAACAGTTTGCTGCCCTCTGTGAACAAATGAACCTGAACAATAACATTCGTCACAAAAGCATCCAGACAGCCACAGTCTCTGGCTTCCCTCCTATGCCTTCTCTATTTGTTCTCTAATTTTTACCGTGTCACAGGACATCCTCAGTTCAACGCCTCCCAGTGCTCAGCACCGAAAACCTGGAGAAACTGGTTTAACCCTTCCACTGCTAGAGGAAGTCTGATTAGGTTTAAGGGAGTGGTTGAGAGGCCAAGAAAGAAGGCTTATCAAAGGAGGTGGCTGCAGGTGGTTCCCTGACTGTGCCTTTCCCCTCACCAATTCCAGTACACAAGCTGGTCATATTCTGCAGATTCTTCTTACATAATATAGTCATATTTACATGTCTTTGGGTTCAGGTTGTTGGGCAAAGATCTAAAATAACGTCTCAGAATAAACAAACTAAGAGCCACAGAGGCCCACTCTGTACCTTTACCTATGACCCAGGGGTTCAACAAAATA